TTTTATATCGGTTCTACTATTACCCAATAAAGACATAACTTATTGAGATCTCTTTATCTTATTATTTTCAGGTACCTGAGCCTCTCCCATGAGGTCTTATGAAGTGTTATGTCGTGGTGCTCTTCTAGAGCACTTGCCTCCTTATTATGACCATCTTGAATATTTGCTCCTCTCCTTCTTCAATGAGTTTTATCTGTGGAACTGATTAGTCTATTATGCTTCATGCATGCCATAGACTCTATTCATTATGAACTTTATTTTATTTGGAGCATTAGCAGCTGAATATAACATTTAGTTTTGGGTCAGCGTTTGGCAATATTTTGTAAATGAATTATCACTTAAAATTCAAGTTCACATTTTCTCATACGAGGATCTAGATGTACTCATAATAATTCATTACATGCATTACTTTTTCAGCTGTCCATTTTCTTCTCCTATTATTGGGATCACCAACACATATCCCTAGTCTTATTTGGGGATCCATCTTTATGCATTGTGGTGGAACAATTAAATCATATAGAACATTCATATTTCTAGATAAAAATTATTTGGTTCCTGACCCTAAACCGATTGTGATATGGAGAACTCGTTATAACTTGGCTAGATGCGTACAAGTACTGTTGTATATTAAATAATACATCACATACCAAATTTTATTTTGGCAGTTTTGTTCTCATAACCAATGGTTTAGTTATAATTGGAGGCATACAATTTCTGCTAAATCAACTTAGATTTAAACCAGTATTATCAAGATAAATAATCATAATTTATATTTTGGAACTGTGCTCTGATAATTTGAGCAATCAATCTTGCAAAAGTCAAACTGCAAGTTGATAACAAATGCACATGTGACCATAAAATAGATGCATCTATTAAAATCATATAATAGTAAACGGTATACATGGCAGGTGACTGGGCCCATATATTTATCACCTTTTATTAGTTCCAGAAATCAAAGGATTCAATCCCAACCTTAACTGGTGTATCATGAAAATAAGTAGCACAAGAGAATTCTTGAAGAATCTTATATTTCTTCAATATATGTCAATGTAATTGGCAATTAATTTTTCGCATCATAATTGAACCGAGATGGTCAACCGGTCATGCCAACTAATATTTGTTTCAGTAAACCTCTAGTTTACTTGTGACATATTATTCCATCATCATGCTTATATTTGTGTAGTATAAATAGAAAAAAAATCGGGTAATCTTTCATATTTACCCGTTATGATTATAGAAATATGAAAATATTCAATATTCCTTTCATTTATAGTTTCAATATGGCAATCATTTTGACTTATATATTTGAAACTCAAAAAGTTTCTTTTGAGACTTTGCAATATCAATGTCGTGAATAATTTTATTCATCCGGGTAGAAACAAATATCCAAAGATCTTAATAACTTTTGTACTACAAGATCTTTTGTCACACCATTCATATGGTAAATGTCTCCTTCATGGAGAAAATTATATCATAATAAATTATCGTAGTCGAAATTATTTCTTGCTTTAATTTTGTTTTTAATAACCTTTTATAAGGCACAACAAAATATTTTTTTTTGGCGTATCATATGTACGCGACCAATGACATATTCATGTAACCACACAATAATATTTATTCTCGTTGTTTCACTCAAACCTCCCTTAGAGGTGAGTTGTGTGGTATTCATCCAATCATGCATTGCATGTCTTTATTCATTAAGTTTATCACATATTGCAACATTCATCTTTAGGAATGGGTATGCATTCTCAATGCCTATCACAAGTCACATTCTATTCAATGAATGGATCATAATCAGCGGCGTGCTTTATTATTTTTAATACTAATTTGATGGTAAACATTGCCTTCATATTTTGAAGGACTATTTTAAGAACCCTTATTGTTCTCCTTTTATAATCACAGTGATGATTATTATTATTTTGATCTTTGGAACGCCCACGTTCATTGTTCAACCACTTGTCTTCATTTAGACTTATTGTGTGCCGCTACCAAATTCACTTCAAGAATGGAACAAATTAAATGGGACAATCTTCATGCTTTTTTATGAAAAATATATTATTTTTCTTTAGTCATCATTATATCATCAATATGGTACAGTGAGACTCAAACCCAATGTCTTACCAATATAAAGGTATGTTAAGCCATAATGAATTGAGACTCAAACCCAACTCTTATCATCATGGAGCATCAGGACTTGATCCCGATGTCTTACCCTCATGGTGCATTGCGACTTGAACTCATTGAAGTTGATATCATCAATAGCAAAGGACAAAAATAATTTTAAATACAGAGAAAATGCTTACCTCTTGAGTTAAACTCTTCATAATGTCATTTGGATATAATTCTCAGCAATAGACTTTCAAATCAGCTAAGTAATTAGTGTCAGCTAGAATGAATAACATTCTCTAAGTATTCACCTGATAGATCTTTGTTGGCTAGCTTCTTTAGCCTCTCTGAGTTTTTTCTTGTTAAATCTCTATTTCATATTCTTTTAATAAATATTAATCAAGATAAAGAATATATTTTCAGTTTGAAGAACTTGACAAATAGGCTAATCATAATTAATAGGTATGAAATTTAAGTTTTGCCAGAAAATAGATAAATGATATACATATCTTAATTTTAAGTTTATGATAGAATAAAATGAGTATCTACAGCAAGTCTTACTATAACATGTCCTTTCTAGTATCTTAAATAAAATAACAATAAAGGCTTTCATAGCCATATAACTTTGAACATTACTAAAATACTGCTACTCCAATATTACGCAACAGATGAATTCCGAGCACTTAGATCAAGACTGAAGATTTACTTGCTAGGAAAGTGAATTGCCATCAAAGTATTTTTTTTTATCACATTGAGAATTCTTACAAGTCCAATATTGAATATCACACAAAGAATAAACTCAAATATAAAGAATAAGATGTGAAGTATATATGTAGTTTTATGAATTTCACATCATCTCATTTACTTGTAACAGTTCAATTATTAAGAATTGAATACCTTCTCTAGTTAGGCTAGAGGTTTAGAAGTAAGTTGTTCATAGTGGCTGATTCCATAAACTAATTGCTAGACCAACTTTGCTTCTAACATATGTATCGAAAAGAAAAATTGACTAACTCTGGTAGGAAGAAGATAAAACCTGATTAAAGCAGACAATCTCAATTGGTTAGAGCATCGTGCTGATAACGTGTTATGAAATAAAAACAATTTAGTAAAACAAGAAATAAAAGCAATTTAGTAAAACATGAACACGAAATGGAGATAGAGAGAAGGAAGAGATTCTCTTCTTCAATTGTGTGTATTTTCTTATCTATTACAAGGCCTTTATATATGCATGAAGTAAAGAAAAATATGTCATTAAACATAGAAATATGTCATTGAATATGTCATTAAGCATTTGAGAACATCATGGAGGAAGAGTAGACATCCATCATAATTTGATTTTTCTTATAACAATCACTAATATTTAAACTAAATTGGAGCTAGTGTTTTTTTTTAAAAAGGGGAATGGCTTAAGTAATGACTAATAAAAGTAACTTAACGTTTTGATTTGAGATGGTGCAATATCATCTAAGAATTAGCCATTTATCAATAATGAAAATGCACTATTATTTTCACGTTGTCCGACATAGTTGACACATAATTCACCTATATAATTGCTGAAGGCCACTTCAAGAATTGCTGCAGAATACAAAGAAAGATGGATGTGGGAAAATATATTCTCATATTTCTCCTATTTGAATAAGCTTTTCTGCACATGTCGTAAAAAAAATAAACAAAACGTGTTACAGAGGTCAGCAAGGATAAAGTTGGAAGGCCCCACAATGTCAGTAATAAATTATGTTCCATCCGTTTCAATTTATCTGAACTCATTTGATTGGGTACACAATTTAAGAAAAGAAAGAAGACTTTTAAACTTGTGGTGTAACATGATGCACATATATTTTGTGTGGTTATAAATCATTGCATAAAGGTAAATTGTTTCCAAATAAGTAAATGAGTCATTTTTTTAGCACGAACTAAAAAAAATAAGTTTACATAAATTGAAACGGAGGGAGCAGTAGTAATATCTTGGGAACACACTTTAACAAATGGGTCCACTGTTTCATCTAGCTCTTCACACGTGTCCCTGGGACAGTAATAAGAAATGATGGGCTTTGAAAATGCCTCCCTTTATTTACCAAATTCCTTGATGACAACAAACGTAATCATATTGAAAAGCAAAAAAGACGACGACAACAATAAATTTAGCTTAATCCCATAAATTCAGCTTAATTTCATATATGCGGTCTGGTATAATAGTATGTACGCGACTTCACCCTTATTCAATAAAGTCAGAAAGGTTATTTTTGATGGACCTCCGACTAAAAAAAAATAAAAATAAAACAACAAGCAATAATATATTAATATCAGTAATATAATAAGTAATGGAAGCGAGTAACATAACAAAGTAATAAAGAACTAAGAATACAAGAATAGTACTAATACTATTGGTAAACTCACAACTATCTGTCAATCCACCCCTAATTCTCGACCTCCACACCTTCCTATTGTTAGTCATGTCCTACCTAATCACCTATCCCCAATACTTCTTTGGCCTACCCCTGCCCCTTCCTCAAGTCCGACATGGTCAACCTCTCACACCTCCTGACCAGGGCATCTATGTCTCTCTTCTTCACATGCCCAAACCATCGCATCCTCGATTCCCGTAACTTATCTTCCACAGATGTCACTCCCACCTTATCCCTAATAACTTCATTCCTAATCTTGTATTTCCTACTATGCCCACATATCTATCTCAACGTCTTTATTGAAAAGCAAGGGTAAAAATATAAAAGTTTAAGCTGGCATGTCGACGAAGTCCTGTCAGGTTCACCTGTTAGGCACTTCTTATTTCTGCCTAATTTACCGGGTTGGGCAAGAGATGTATTAGTAATGGGCTGATTTGCTAATAGCCCAATATAACTCGTTTCAAAAGAAGAGTAGTTAGCCCAATATCATCGCTCAAATCAACCCGTCTTTCAGATCTTCGCCCAAGTTTTTCTCTCTCCTCTGTGTTCTCGCTCGAGCGAGACCCAAACAATTGATTCGTCCATTTTCTTCAACAGACCAAGGTACGCCCTATCATTTTTATTCTTTCATTTTCATTTTGTTTCCATTCCGCGCTGTTCCCATTTTGAAATTTCATGAAATCAGTTTTTTTTTTAAAAACTTTTATGTAAGTCATCAGCAACTGGTTTTTAGCTTTTGAAATTGCTATGTCGTTTTGGGTTTAGGAGGCATATCATTTGTTAGTTTTATTTGAAGTATCTGAATGTTGTGTTGAGTAAAGTTTCAAACTTGGTGGGTCATGCAATGTTTTCTGCATTTTGCTTCCAGTGGGTGATCTTATTGGTTTCTAGGTTTATTAACAGCTTGTTTGGATGGTTGTTACCTATTGTATCGTATTGTATTGTTATGCCAGAACAATGTTTGTTTTGATTGTTTCATTAAAATTGGTTGTATTGTATTGTTAAATCCATTGTTTAAAAGTCCTATAACGTCAAAGGTGTTTTGCCTTCTTTTGTTTTCTCCTAATTTGATTTTATCTCCAATTCTAATTATCTTTGTTCTGCCAATTCTCGTTTCTTTCTTTATCATAGTTCTTTAACATTTTATTATTATTATGATCTAGTTAGGAATGGAGTGTACTTATTATTGTTTTTAATATTATTAACTTGTTCCACTAGTTTTGTTATAATTTGCATGAATTTAATTGCTTAATCTATTTATAAGACATATTTGGTGATAAATTAGTAGAAAGAGATTTTCTTAAATTATTTTTACGCGTAATTCTTGATAAATTTAATATTTAAACAATTGAGGGTATTTTAGTAAACTTATCAGTTACAGTACAGTACGATACAGTCAAACCAAATAACAAAATATTATTTAACAATAGCAAACAATACAATCTATCCAAACGTTGTATTCATAAAACGATACGATACAATACATTATAAAACGATAGGTAACAATGATCCAAACAAAGTGTAATAAGGGTATGCTACGGACTTATCTGTTAGGTACATGGTTTTCACTTATTTTACTTGCCTTTGAAATGCCTTGATTCTTGTTTTAGTGGGCATGAATCTTATGCTAGTGAGTTGTCTAGGAAATTGAGTGTCGATACTGAAAATGTTGTACTCTTTGGGTATATATAACTAGATCAGCATTTCGCATTTTTCTGTTGGTTCTGATTAGTGCTAGTTGATGGTTTCCAATTGGTTTATTATATTCTTTCTGATCATCCTTTGCATAGTCCTAAATTTTCTGTTTCACGCTAGTTGAATCTTTTATATATTTGTAATATGGACAATTTTACATGTTCAATGTACAAATGTAAAAGTTTGAATTTTGACTGCTACCTTTTACAAAAAAAAAGTTTGAATTTTGCAAGTCTTTTCTCCTCTTTCATAGGTGTGTGTGCTTATCCCTCTCTATCTCTCTCTTGGAAAAGGATGTTGTTCATTCTGTAGTATATTAATAATGTGTTTCATTGCTTAAATTTTTTGTTGACTGTATGGTTTTTTACCATTTCTAGTTTTTCAAACCTGGTGTTTGAAGATGTTACAGAATGCTCAACACCAACTTCTGCAATCGCCGGCCCGGCTTGGCCTGCCAACTCCTAGTTCACCTTCTCTTCAAAACCCAACCACTCCTCCTAAGTTCTCCTCGCAATTGTCACAACATCTTCAACCTCATCAACAGGCAAATATATTAACTACCAGTACCACCTCATCAACACTGCTTCCTCTTCTCCCACCTCTCTCTAGAGCTCAGTCTCTTCTCATTCAAATGGCATCTCTTTCTTCAAGACTCTTTGAAGTCTCACCTAACCGATCCCATTGGCTTAGTGCTTTTCGAGGCTCTTTCCCTTCATTTTTGCCTTCTGCAGCACCGGTTCCTCAAGATTCCTACCCATCGTCCTCAAAAGAAATCCTTTCTGTGTTTACTTCTCTTCAGACACAGCTGTTTGAAGCAGTTGCCGAATTGCAAGAAATTCTTGATCTTCAAGATGAGAAGCAAAAAGTCACCCGTGAAATTAGGTCAAATGATTCTGCAATTCTTGCTTTCGCCAATAAACTCAAAGGAGCTGAGCGTGTTCTTGACAATCTTGTTGACGATTACTCTGATTATCGCCGTCCCAAACGGGTGAAGTTGGAAAATGATATTGATGAATCTTCAGTAACAACTGTAGCAACCCAGTTGAAATTATCTGACATATTGTCATATGCTCATAGGATAAGCTACACTACTTTTGCTCCACCTGAATTTGGTGCTGGACAGGCTCCTCTTCGGGGAGCACTCCCACCTGCTCCACAGGACGAGCAAATGCGTGCATCTCAATTATATAATTTTGCCAATCTCGATGTTGGTTTACCTAAAACAGATGATGACAAAGAGAAGATCATTGAGCCGCTCATTGAACCTTCAGCAGATATTACCAATCTTTCAGCAATTCCAGGCCTCATCCCTCCAAATATCATAGTGCCATCTGGATGGAAACCTGGTATGCCTGTCGAGTTGCCCACTGACCTCCCACTTCCTCCACCTGGGTGGAAGCCTGGTGACCCAATTGCTCTCCCTCCAGTGGATTCTCTTCCACTTCCTCCAAAAGTGGAGGAAGCGCCAGCACGACCAGTACCTCCTCCAGGACTGCCAAGAATGCCCGAGCCAATACAGGTTCGGCATGTGCAGCTTGATATTGAGGACGATAGTAGCGATTATAGTTCTGAGGCCAGCTCTGATAGTGAAGATTGATGTTGTTAGCTGTTTTGAGTAGCTAAAACAGGTTAGCCATATGCAGTTTGCTTCTCCTTGTACAAAGCAGCGGTACCCCTTTTTGCCTCCCTACTGGATGAGTTATTTTCTCTCAAACAACAGGTACCACTGCTCTCTTCTGTATAATTGGGGGACATGTCTGTATAATTGGGGGACATGTGAGTTTCAGTTTCATGTTCTTGAGTTTTCTCTACCGTGTGTGTAGTTTAGGTTTTCTTATCAGTTTCGCTTTGCCTGTTGACCATGATATCCCCAAGAAATAAAGAGAGCTAGTGTAAAGGTGATAACATGTATTATGTGGTTTCTTTCCCACTAATTATGTGGCTCATTTTGTCCCAACAGTGTTCTGAATAGTCAAGATCAAACTGTGAGATTGTTTCTTTGTTTGTTTATATTTGTAACCTGTAAAAGCTGTCATAATTATGCTCTCTGTAGAGTAAAGATCATTCCATTATTCAGCGAATATTTGAAGACAAAACAAAAGTAATGCATTTCTAACATTGATTCTATCGAAATTGACAGATAGTGAACTTGAAGTTCAGTACAACCAGTAAGGATAAGGATTTCATTTTGTGAAGTCTTGATTTTGAGGTGTTAATTTAGGCTTAGGGAGCAAAGTTTACTTTAGTCATATTGGTAATACTTCGTGCATTCTGCTTGACTGCAGTTGAGCAGTTTGAGTCCCATCTACTTTTCACCTTGTTTGACAACATTTCCCAAATTTTCAATTAGCGTCCCCCTGCTTCACTTTTGGTTCGTCCCTCTTTTTGGCAATGTCTTCCGACTAGTCATATCATAATGTTAAACATGGAATTCATGCTTTCCTACACGTAGTCTCAAGCAAAGATCCAGTCCACAGATATTTATTCCATCTGATAACAACTTTGCTGATTCTGTTCCTCTTGTAATTACAAGCCATATGTACATTTTGCTGTGCACAGAATCAGACTGTTCTTGTTTTGAGGAACCTGAATCAGTTCGGAAACTTTGTTTTGAGTCGTCCAGAGACATCTTTCTTGATTAATTCTACGAGGCATGAGCAGGTACTAGAATGTCTAGAGTGTAGATGAGATTTATTGGACTACACGGCTGAGTGATTCCAGAGTGGATCACCTTCAAGCAGGGATGATTTTACAGGTAGCAGAAATTGGATTTGATGGACAGCTTAAACAAGTTAAATCCCTAAATGGCAAGCAAGGGCAGCTGACCATTACCGAAAGGAAATGAGTAGGAAACTAATTTCCAGAAAGCATATAACAGACTGATAAAAGCTAGAAGCTTCCTCGCCAATTGTCCCTTTTAAAGATAATGATAACTTTGATGTCAGAACAGCATCTCAAAAACTATTTGTATTGTCCTCAAATATCTCCTCTGTTTCTTCTCTTAACTTCGTGCATATGTATATCCAATAGCAGCATAGTGGCACGTGTTCTCTCGAAATTTTGGAGAAAAGGGTGGAAGTTATTTTCCTAAAAGAAAATTATTGCATTTTGTCCCGACAAGAAGCTAATGAAATGAAAAAGATACGACTTATTTTGAGTCGTACAAGAAAGTCACAGTGAATGAAGGTGTCTATGACATTTTAAAAAGCGGAGTTCAGGAAGCAGAGTTGAGGTAAAAACAAAGAAGAAAGTGTCAAGCACCTCTAAACCTCACTGGGTGCCGGAAAGGAATGGCTTTAGATGTAGAGAAAAAGCCACAAAAAGAGCGTCTAATTCAATGGCTGTATGCAGGGACAAACTATAGGACAGTTAAGCCGTTTTGATACAGAGAAATCTACATGAAAGGCAGCAAAGACCATATAAACCGAGTAAGATCTTAGCATTACAAATTATTGGATAAATTGCTGAATGAAGACAAAATAGTTGGAAATGCTGATGGGAGAAACAAAGCTGTTAGCCCTCTCAGGATTCTTGCTTTTGGGCGCATGTGGAGGATGTCATTTTTAGTTCCAAAGAATAGAAAGAAGCCCAAAAAGCAGTTCAGAAGAGAGAATTCTCGAGGAATTTGGTTAAATTTGAGTATTGGAACATGTAATAAGCTATTCAGTATCCCCTGAAATTTTCTCTTCAGTTAAACTGAGTAATCAATTTAGAAGTGGGGAGGGAAATTTCTAATTCGAAATTAAAAGATGTGACACCAAGGCTTATATTCTAGTGGAATGGGATTCTCTTATAAATAGGTGTGAGTTCTGTTGGGTTTTCTAATTTAAAACAAAAAGAGGTGCGAATGGAAAATTGTGGGAAAAGAAATGGAGAGAAATGAAATTTTGAATTAGTCTCTTTTACAAAGGAACTTTGTGGGTAGGAAGAGGAAAATTTTTATGCTTATATATAGCACTTCTTCTGGCTCTTAAAGCTTCGGCTTCGACTTCGAAGACAACCTTCTTAAATGGAGATTTGGAGGAAGAAATTTATATGGAACAACCTGAAGGGTTTGTAGTTCCCGGAAAAGAAAAGAAGGCGTGTCGACTTGTTAAGTCACTTTTCGGACTAAAACAAGCATCAAAACAATGGCATGCGAAATTTGACCAAACAATATTGTCAAATGGTTTCGACAATGGTTTCAAGATCAATGGGTGTGACAAATGTGTTTACATTAAGAATACTCCAAATCAAATAGTCATTGTTTGTTTATATATGGATGATATGTTGATAATGAGTAATGACATTGCTAACATAAATACTACTAAGCGCATGCTTAGTCCCTTTTACAAAGGAACTTTGTCCCTCATTGGATAGGAGGAGGAAAATTCTTGTGCTTATATATAGAAGTACTTCTTCTAGCTTTTAAAGAATTGAGAAGAGAGCAAGCCTCGCGCCGCCGTCGTCGCTCGGCTTCGGCTTCGATTGGTTGATAAGTTTTTGGACCAAATTTATTCTCCATTTTCGTCATTTAATATTTCCTTTCCTAATATTTTTGCGCGGAAAAATATTAAATTCACGACATTATTTCCAACGGCCAAATTCGTGACCAGCCATTCCGTTTAACAGAAATTCGGTCAAATAGATACCTCTTCAAACGAACAAGCACCTTTGCACCTATTGGGACTCAACTCTATTGGCTATAAATAGAGAGGCTCAACCTCATTTTTCACCACCGAAATATGAAAATCTCTTCCCTCTATCTTTTGCATTCTGCATTGGTTTTCAAAGCAAAAACGTAAGCATTTTGTGTGATTTGCTCCGCCATTTGAGTTCGCCGAAGTTCTTTGATTTGAAGTGTCGCTATCACAGAATAGTTATTCCGTTCTATCGTGGGAGAAATTAATCTAAAATCTTGAGCAACTGTGAGGGGAATAAATTCCTTAAGGATACACAAGAAACTTGTGGGCTCAAAATTTTCTGTTTTGTTTTCTTAAACTAAGAAAACAAAACGTTTCTGATTTTCTGATTTTGAATACAGAATACTAAGAGGTTCAGTTCTCATTGTCATGAATTTGATTACATAATTAAGTTCTCAAAATAACGTACTTGAAATGAGTTTAGAAACTAGTCAAAACTCTCGTAAGAAACTAAATTTAACTTCTCGCTGACTATAAACCATAGCTTATATTATGCAGGGAGCCAAGTAAGACATATAAATGGGAAAAAGAAAGGGGGAAAAACACCCTGCTGCAATATACATGTGCTTGTATTTGGGGAAAAGCAAGCCATAGTTTCACATTCACACTCTCTATTATCTAAAGTTTGTTAGAAGGCCTAAAATAATGTGCTTGTTTTTCAGCAAAATGATTTCGGCTTTGCTGTGGCCCAAAAAGGGACAAAAACAGAGAGGTGTCTGAACTTAATTCAAGAAAAGGAAATTTTCCGAGTTAAAGGACAATGAGACAAGTAAGAGGTGTACCTATCATATTGAAGGGCCATAAGAGAAAACCGAGCATGAGCTGTTGGATAACTGTCACTAGTCACTTACCAAAATGTACGTTTCCATTTCTCCTCTCATGACATGGGACCAGCTTTAGCCTGCGCTTTCCTCTTCTCTCTCTTTTTCTTTTTGAAACATATATTGAGTAATTTTGCTTATTAAAAATCACCTAATATTGTTTTTTTTGTTTTTACTGAGGTTTGAACATGTTCTCCGTAGTTTGCACTCATTGACTACTAGGTCATATCTTTAAATGATATGGTTTCCTATTTTCTTCCCTGTCGCCTTATCGTTTACTTCGTATGTTTTAGTTTATGTGTCTTATTTTACTTTTTTGTTTGTGTCAAAAATAATATCTCTTTTTATATTTAGTACTAACTCTTTAACTTCAATTTTTCACATGACATATCTAATACCACAAGATTCAAGGATATTTTAGTACATTACCCACGTCTTTAGTTTAAGACCACAAAATTTAAAAGTTTTCTTACTTTCTTAAATCTCGTACTCAATCAAATTACATACATAAATTGAAATGAAAAGAGTATTATTTTCTTCCCTACAGTCCTATCGTTTACTATTTTCTTCCCTACCGTCCTATCGTCGACACTCTTGTCTGTTATCCCCCTCGACAGTGAATACATGTACTGTAAGTTTTATATGAATTTTTACATGTACTGTTATTTTTCAAAAAAAAATTGCATTTTCAGAAACTAATTTTTTTTCCAACAGAAACAAAATAGTTAAAACTATTGAAATGATGCTTTTGATTCTCTATGTAATGATAATGTTTTTTTTTTTTTTTGTGTGTGTGTGTATTTCCCAATTCTCCTGGTATCTCCCATGTAGATGCCTGTTAAACCCTCTTCCTTTCCTCTTTGTCCTTTCATTAATAGATTACTCTATCATTTAGGGTAATTAAGAAAAAGACGAAAGTAGGTACAATAAGTTCACTAAATATAAATACACTACGAATAAGTTGGAGCCTATTTGCTGAATCATATACCACTTGATCTGTAATAACCAAGAGCCATACTACCATGGTTTATAGTTGATTGATAAGATTTCTCTATTCTTAGCCAAAGGTTTTAAGTTTGAACTTTAAAATTAAAAAATCATAATATCGACCGCTTTCTAATTTAATGAACTTACGCCGTGCGGCACTGCCTATTAATTTACGAAAAGAGAACTGCCGAGAGCCGCAAATTGGTAATATGATTAGCTTCAAAGTTCCTACACCGACAATCTGAGGATAGGGGCACCAAACAAAAACAGAATGGGAAAGAGAACAATTAATACTCCGAGAGATAAATTGAACAATAAATTGCTACTCTCAGGTCTCATTTTACCTTTTATTTTGGTCCAAAATAAGTGTCTATTTACATAATCAAGAAGGAATTAATTTTATTTTTTTCAAAAATTGCTCTTATTTACATATTCCAATGTGTCAAGGTAACAATTAATTAAAGTTAATTTAGTGAATACATCTTTTTTTCTCTATGAGTCCGTATTCCCTTAATGAGTGTGCCAAAAATAAAATGGTCACTTATTATAGACCAGAGGAAGTAATTGAAAAGAAAAAAGTGTTTGTTTAATGTCCGAAATAAATGAAGAACAAAACTCCGAGAGAG